AGTTCACTTGTAGCACATCTTCAACGCTTGAGGTGGTGAGTCTTTAATTTTAGCCATCTTTATTGGAGGGTACTGGTATCTCATTGTGGTTTTAGTTACATTTTGCTAATGGCTAATTTTGAATGTATTTTATGTTCTTTCTGTGTATCATCTTTGGTGAAGCATGTGTTCAAATCTTTTGCCCAGTCTTTATTGGGATGTTTTTCTTCGAATTACAGAGTTTTGAGACTGCTTTACGTATTTGCATACAAGTTCTTTATTAGTTATATGTTTTATAGGTATCTTCTAGTTTACAGCTTACCTTTTCACTCACTTAAAAGTGTCTTTTGAGGATCAGAATAGCTAAGAAATACTTGCTTAGATATCTAAAAAGGTATCTAAGAAGTATCTAGGAAATTTCTGCCTAACCCAGGGTCTCAAGGACTTTTCTTCTATGTTTTCTTCTAGAATGTTTATAGTTTTAGGTGTTACATAGTGTTAAAATTTGACTCCATTATATGTTATTGAAAGAAAATCATTACTTGCAAACAAATACTGAACAACACATGAAACAAGTTGATGTAGCATAGTGGTTAAGAATTCAATATCTGAGACAGACTAAGATTCTAATCTCAGTTCCAATATTTACTAGCTATGTGATCTTGGTCAAGAAAATATTTAACTTCTCTGGCCTTGTTATCTCATCTATAAAATTAGAGTAGGAACAGTTCCCACCTCATAAGGTTGCTCTGAGGCATGAGATAGTGTATGGAAAGCACTGTAAAAATTCACATAGCTAATAATCACTAATGTAATCAACTGAACTTGATGAGAATGTCCAAGGCATAGAAAATAGATGAAAAGATGGCACCTTCATACCTGAATGAACCGATTATACATCTGATCACATTTTCCTGGAATAGGATGGAATAGACTGAGGGAGGATGACACATCTGAGTCCAGCGTTTGGTTTTCTGAATGGAGTGGTAAAAGGGGAAGCCATTAAAAAAATGGATGGTGAAAGTTCTAGCAGAGGAGGAGGAGCAATGCTTTGGTTCAGCCGGAAAAGACTAATAGAGCTGAGAGTATGTCCAGGCAAAGATTGCAGTAGATGACTACACATGACTACTGCTTGAGTAAGCTAAGAGAATAGGGAAAATATGGGTGAAATTTTGCACAGCACTGTGGAAAGACATCTTAGCCTAGCTTTAACTAGCTTTTTGGTGCCTGTGACATGAGATTAGATCACAAAATCTCTAAGATCTAGCAGCCTGTGAAATTTCCAGTTTGTGCTGTGGAATTGGGAGTAGGGAGAGGAGTGATCCCTGAAAATTCCAGATGGTGAAAATAAAACAGAATTCTGGAATTGACAGTTACCGAGTATAACCAGTTCCAGAGTGATGTGTGGCTGATGAAGGAGAAAGGGGATAATAAAGTATTTTCCCAGAACCTCTGCTCTCCGTGAATAGCACATGAAGTATTGGATTCATGAACTGAGATTGCCAAGGACGTGAGAGGGAAAATATATAGAAAAAGGATGGATGTGTGGGCAGATAGATAAGTGTCCAAAGTCTGGAGTTTTACCCATTGGACACAATTTCTCTGAGGATCGTTATTAAAATAGGGTGCTTTCTCATTTTTATGTATGGTTTAAAACAATTTTTTTAAGCCAGTCAGTTACTGCTATGAAATACATTTCCAGCCTTTAGCTTCCCAGTTGGTGCTCTTTGGGATAAAAATAAATTTAAGCATTTGCCCAAGGAAAACAAAACTGACCTGTTCAAATAATTTTAAAATTCTTTCCAAAGACAATAATATATTAATTTGGTTATATGAACTATCTTGGCCTCTGACTTTTTCTGTACTAGTAGATAATTAAAAATCAAGTACACATTTTTCAGTAATGCAATCATCAATGAATGTTTTATTTAGGTTGAAATTTTGGGAAAGGAAAACTCAGACTGGATTTTATCCATTCATTCAACATATTTATCGACACCCACCATGCCCAGCACTGTACTAGGTGCTTTTATTCATTTTCATATATACATTTTCTTATTTAATTTTCCCATTAACTGTATTTTTGGCAAAAGACACTTAAAAAGGTTAAAACTTGTCAAATTTCTCACTGTCAGTAAGAGGTAAAGCCCCCTCGGGATATTTAATCTAGTTGAATAAGCAGGTACCTCCAAATAGTATCCTAAGGTAAGTACCATCATAGACATACATTAGCCTATGCGGCTCCCAGAGGAAGCTCTGGGAAGGCCTTTAAAAAATGAATAGAGTTTTGACAGGTAAATGTTAGGCTGCGAGAAGGGGAAGAGGTGGAAGAGAAATCAAAGTAGAGGGGAAAATTTTCACAGAGGCCTATTGGCCAGAGAATGCCTGGGTGGTCGTGAAACAGCAAGTTGCTATAATCTGGGTGAGGGGATAGGGCAGTAGGAAATGTTAGCATGTAACAGACTTGGAGGCAAGATGAGATATAACTGTAGCAGGCAACAGGAAGACAGCAAAGCATTTTGACCAGGAGAATGGCTAGGTCAGAACTGTGTTTTAAGAAAGACTTCTGCAGTCCTTAACTAATCGTTGGTAGCCTGGACAGAAGGCGAAGAAATCGATGGCAGGGAGGCTGGTAGAGGCCATCTTGGTGATGCCAGGAGGACCCGCAGTGGGGCTGTGCCAGAGGAGAGGGAGAATTTCCCTCCCCATCCAAAGTGTTCTCTTTGCTCCTATTCCTTGGAAAATAAGGTAGAATTAGCTAACTGCTTGATAGGGTTTTTTATTTGTTGGTTAGTTGGCTTGTTCCTTATTGGGCAACTAAAAAGGAGCTCTTTTTGTGCCGCAAAAAGATATAACCCAAGTGTTGCTCCAGGAAAATCAATCCAGTTATGAGGTAAAGAACGAACTTGAAGGAGCCAGCTGCTCCTCACCCAGGTCCTGAGAAGTAAGGAACGGAAGGAACACTAGCAATCAGTAGATCTTGAAAGGATGGAATCAAAAGAATTTTATTTGATGCGAAGATTTAATGGAAACCGAAATTTTAAACCCAAGTGACTAGGAAAGTGGGGGTCTCCCTGTAAGAAATAAGAGAAGACAATGGTTTGGGAAGAAAGATAATGTGCTTATTTTAAATAGGTTGAACTGGAAGTAACAATGGGACTTTTATGAAGAAATATCCAGTAGCCAGAGTTGGTGTTCCTGAAAGAAGGGCTGGAGATGATATAGTCAGAGGCTGTGTGCAGGGAGATGTCTGTGCTGAGGGACAACATGGTGGCAAACAGATGATGACTTAGGGGAGACCTTTGAGGAAACAGAGCAGGAGAAGGGGACCCACCCAGACTGAAAGGACAGGAGGCAAGAGAAGTAGAACATGCGGAGTTGCAGAGGTAAAGGGAGGAGAGGTGAAGTTGGCAAAATGCAGCGGACTTGCTGATGAGGATATGGAACCAGGGGCTGTGTTTTGTGACAAAGGATCACTTCCTCTGGGCAGTCTTCCTGCCCTCCCCTCCCACCCCACTCCAGGTCATCCAGGACTTATTTTCTCTCTTGCTGTTTGGCCTGAGCAGCAATGGCATTGATAATGGGTTAGCCACCAGTTTGCTTTAGATCAAATGCTCCCTAAAAGCAAGGATGGGGTGGGGTGGGGGTGTAGCCCAGCAGAGTGATACAGGGTGGGGACTAAAGGAGAAAAATTAACACACTCCCTGAGAGAGCAGTTTCCGGAGAGTGTTTGGAAGTCGAACTGTAAGATGTTATGGAACAGGAAAATGGTAAGAATTGAAAGAAGTACTCAGTTATGGGAGAAAATGGGCAGGGAATTACAAGAAATTTACATTAAGAGAGAAACAGAAAGAATCAAATGTTTAATTCTAGGGTGAGACTATGTTCCTAAACTGCGGTGAAAGACAGTGGAAAGGAGAGAAAGAAGATGCACAAAGAGGCAATGGTAACAACCGATGGAGCAAGTTTGAGAAGGACTGCTGAGCACAGGGGAGGGGCTCACCTCTGGCTGGGGGCGGGGCTTGGGCGAAGGTGCAGAGAAATGGAGAGGTGAGAGGTGGGCGTAGTGAATGCTCTTTGAGGAAGGAAGCTGTGGCCTAAAGGCTGACCTTGAAGTTCTAGTACTGCCATTTTTCAGTTGTGTGGCCCGTGGCAAGTGACTTAACATTTTTCTGAAGCCTTAACTCCCCTTTTGGTAAAATGGGGCACAAACTTGTAACTCCAATAACTGTGTGTTTTTGTCCCACTTCCTTGCAAGTGCCTTCTTGGCTGTTTCTGTTTTTGTTTGTTTGGGGATGTTTCCCTTATAGGGCGGAGTAGCCTGAAGATGGTCTGGATCCTATCAGCAAAGTAGGAGGTGGGTCACCCGAGTGTGGAGTCAGTGAAGCCATAGGCCTGACAGCAGAAAAAGGTTTCAGGAGTGCTGGGCATTGGCTACGGTGATTAACAGAAGAATAAGAGCATTTGCAAGCATCAGAGATGACCCAGAGGAGATTAGAGGGCAGGGATGCCTGATCCAGGAGGAATCAGGCCCCTTAGCTAGAAATGTGTTGGGAAGGTATGAGCACAGCTTCGTTTCTGAGCCTCTCTCACAGGTGTGGGTTATGAGGGGCGCCCACCTGGGGTCCACGCATCCCAGGAGGCTTTGGGATGGGCTTGAGCGATTTCTAAGGCCCCCGAAATCGCCTAGATGCGTTGATGTCCACCGGGCTTGCAACAGGGTCTCCCAACTCAAAGATTAAGAACCTGTAAGCAGAGCTTGGTAAACTCGCCGAGAACGCGGGCGGCCGCCCGGTCGTGCCCGGCGAGCCATTTGCAGTGCGGCGCTGCGCAGCGCCGCAGAACTTCAGGAACTTCTCTTTCATCTGCTCCTGCCCATCGCACGACCTCGGGCTTTTCCTGTCGGTAATTGCTGCGCGTAGTGAGGCCCCGCCCCTCCACGCCCGGCCGGGGCAGCCCCTCCCGCCTCTCCGCCCGTGCTGCTTCCCGGACCGCGCTGGAAGCCCCGGCGGCGGCGGCCCATGGGGCGCGTGGCGCTGCCCGCCTGGCTGCAGCCCAGGTAGGGCGCTCGGGCGCGCGGGGAGGGGCGGCGGGGGCGCGGGCTCCCCCAGCAGCGGGCGGGCTCCGGCCGGCGCGGCGAGACCCAACCCTGCGCTGGCACTCCTTGGAGCTCTGGACGGGTATTCGCTAACTTCATTCTCTCGAGCACCCTAGGAGGAAGGCTCTGTTATTTTCCCCATTTTACAGATGAGGAAAGGGGAAGGACAGGCTGCATGGCCACCCCTTCCCTTCGTGGGCCCGCTGCCAGTCCTTCCTCCCCTCCCCCATCAGGAGCGCTTCCCTTGCCTTTCTCGGACGCAGTGCTGCGGGTGATTTTTACATCTACCAGCTATGGCAACACCTACTAGACGTGTAGACTCCAGGGGAACTGATTCAGTGCTGCAGGGGTAGGGCCTGGGGATGTGTATGTTCAACCGACAAGCCGGGTGATTCTGATGCAGGGTGAAGGAGCCTCTCTTTTTCTCAACGCCTTTAGTACTTGTCATATTGGGCGGGAGTGCGCAAATAAAATCACCCAGCTACACGGTATCTGCTTCCCGGCTTATTAGCCTTGTCTCTCAGAGGTTTCACGTCTTCAGCTGGGAGAGAACCTTGTCTACACTGGCAGGGCCACTCTCTCCACCCTTCTGAACCCCCAGGGAACACTTCAAACAGTGCTTTTCCTAACTCCCTCAAACCATATATCTGTCAATCTTCTCTTAGTCATCTCCCCAGCAACCCACAACACATTTTTAAACTCAGCTTGACTTCCCTTTTCTGGCCTGAGCAGCTAAACTGCTTTCTGTGTGTGTCTGATGAAGGAATCTATCTCCCCTTGCAAAATATCATAGAAGGCAGTGGCAAGATACTGACTCCAATCACATAATGTATTCAAAAGTCAGGTGTGTCCAATTACTGAATTACCCACCACTGGGGATTGCCCCCACCTGCACTCCTCCTGAGACCTGAAGCAGTTCTCTCTCAAGTTCTGCACTCAGCAGGCTGAGCTACTGGGACACATATTGTCCCACATGGACTCCTCTGCACTCGTGTTTTTTTTGTTTTTTTCAAAAATATTCAAAGCCATCTTTGATAAAGCAGTGATTGCTTTATCCCTTGGTGAACAGCAAGGTTAGAGCTTTATCAAAGATGAAAGTGGATAATGGATTTTGAAAGAGTTGTATTCGGTTTTAAGCAAGTTCAGAATTACAGTGGTTCAGCTTACAATTTTTTGATTTTATGATGGCGAAAGCCACATGCATTCATTAGAAATCATATTTCACATGTTTAATTTTAATCTTTCCCTGGGCTAGCGATGTGTGGGTAAGATACTGTCCTGATGCTCAGCAGTGGGCAGCAGCTCCCAATCAGCCACGTGACCATGACGGTGAAGAACTGGTACCCCACGGGGTCCTGTGTTGTCAGGTGATTCTGCCCAACTGCAGGCTAATGCAAGTGCTCTGAGCACAGTTAAGGTGGGTGAGGCTAAGCTGAGATGTTGAGAAAGTTAGGTGTATTAAATGCATTTTCGACTTAGAACATTTTCAATTTAATGCTGGGTTTATCGGGACATAACCCAAATGGTAAGTGAAGGAGCATCTGTACTCACTTGAACAGAAAGTGTGTGCTCTGGGTCCCTTCAAAATCCTATGTGTATTTGGTGGTAACCAAATAAAAGACCACGATGTGGAACAGTTTTCTTTTGCTTGCTCAAGTTGGCCAGTACCTTAAAGGACATGTGTACAATGATGAAATGATGATTATAAAAGATGTGTTTACTGGTATTTTTCTATATTTACAGGTACAGGAAGAGTGCCTATCTTTTCATCTATTACTTAATCCAATTCTGTGGCCACTCATGGATATTTACAAATATGACAGTTAGATTTTTTTCATTTGGAAAAGGTAAAACTCCAAAAACAGTTTTTGATAACTTTTAATCCTTATTTTCACCTAGTACTCCTTATATTAATTTTAAACTTCTACAAATCTCCCCTAACATCCTTCACTGCTCTAAAACTCATATTTTGTCAGTAACCATGCATCTTATTGTGAAAACCAAAACCTTTTTGGAAAAGGAGGAATGAGATAAGAGAATGACTTGGCTTCCCCCTGAGGAGGCAGTTTGCCCTGAAAAGGTAGACATGGTATTGGGGCCATTTCATTGTCACTTTTAGTTTTGCACCAAACCTTAGCAGATTTGTTTTTTGAGGAAATATGTAAATCCTAGTATAACATTTTGTGCAGAGAAATCAGAAATTAATCAAATTCTTTCAGTGTTTTTTTTATTCTTCAGGTTTAGGGTGACTGGAGACTATTAGTAAGAAAAACACAAACTTTATATTCCCCAAGCCTCTCTTTGGTCCCCTTGAAAAGTAATGTGTAAATGACACATTTTGTAGAGATGACTAATCACTTATGTGGGAGTTGGCATTAATGGCTTAAGTTATAAATTTCCTCCAGTTTCCTAAAAAGTAAAGATACTCTTTTAAAGTAGCATTTCAAATTTTAAATAATGAATCATTAAATGACTGTCAAAATAACATTCTTTTCACGTTCCATCCCCATGTGGATAAGTGTCATCACAGTTTACAACTGTTGGGTGACTTGACAATTTGAGCAACTGCTGGCTTCAGCTAAAAACAAACATAGATAATACATCTGGGAAAAGTCATGCTGTGCTCATCATTTCAGACTTCTGTATCATAAGGAAATTAATCTACTTCCAAGGCACCATAAGCTATCTTATATAGCTTTTTCTTACTGAAAATCTACAGATAAAGCCTTGCCTTTGTTAAAAATATCCAAAAATACAACCTAAGGCTTGAATTTCAACTGTAAGCAGTGAGAATCTTCAAACAGAGGAAAAGTTAGGCGGTGGGAAAACATCCTTTATATTTTTAGAAAAAAAGCCATCACTTCTAGGCCTTGGAAGTTGGCTGACCCTGTATGAGCGTATTACTCGTCACTCACAACATGAATCACAAGCCATGAACTCTGTTATGCTACCTCGTCTTCCCAGTGAGAAAAGTTATCTTAGTGAGCAGTGTATTTATTTCTTAATTATTATCCTGCAGTTATAATTATAGAAGATACTTATTATTAAAGAAACACAACTGGTTCATATGGAAAGCAGACTGAAAACTACTAAGTGGGGGATCGGTACAATTCTTGAATCAATGTATAGATTAAGTAAGTGCAACCACAGTCTAAAACCCTGACTTTGTAACCCCTGCTACTTTCTTCCTTCACAGAGCTGTGTAATTGATGATGCCATGTTATAGCAAGTGCAGGGCAGTGGATAAGAGCATGGACTATCTGTGTTTCAGGAATCATCTCTGAAATGAGGATGATGATGATAGTGTCCACCTCATGCAGCTGCTGAGAAGAGAAACCCTTAGTCAGTGGTCAGTTATTATGTGCATGATCGCTGGGCAGTAAAGACAGCAAAATCTTCCCTAGAAGTTTCTAAACATGGCAGGATTTCATTTTAAAACATAAAGCAGCAAATTTATCCCAGGTAGAAGAACACTTGTTTCCCTTCCATTTCAGCTCCTTCTAAGTACAAAATTTCATTTGGGCCCTCTGCAATGCGGACTCCAAAAGTCCGGATCAGAGGCTCAAGTTCCAGTGTTTAAAAGTAATAAAATCCAGAAAAACACTAAGTAAATTATGTGCAGAAACCAAATGTTGCATGCACATGTTACTTGACATCACAGCATCGTTAATGACATTTCCATTAAGCTTCTCTAAAGTCATATTTTTTTTGTCATTTTCTTGTTGGTGGAAAAGCTGTGAGCACAGCACCTTCTTTAAGCAGCTCACATCTATTTACACTTGAAGTGGTCTAGATTCTGTATGATTAGTTACTTCAATGTGGGAATTGCTTTATGATCTCCTATAAGGTCCTTCTCAAGTTTTTCTCTCTTTTTAGAAGAGAAGCAGTTACAGTGTCCTGTAATATGAAGTGCTTTCTTTGCATTGTATTCTTAATAATTCCGTAGCCTATTAAAGAATTTTCCACATAAATACAAGGAAGTGAATAAAAAAGGAAGTGAATAATCTCCATTTTATTTCAAAGTGTGGCATAGATTTGGGTTGTGATCTAGTTTTTACTTACTATATTTGTATTTTTAACCCACTGGACACAGATTCAATGGTTGACACTTTTTATGCTATTGGACTTGTGATGCGACTTTGCCAATCCATTTCTCTCCTGGAGTTGCTGCACATATATGTCGGCATTGAATCAAATCATCTTCTCCCAAGGTTTTTGCAGGTAGGTTTTGATCACATTATCATTACAGAATCTGTATGATACTCTATTTATAGCCTCTCTTGACTTTATGGCAGTTAAAGAGCCAACCCTTGCGTTAAGTCACTGATAAGGAGGCGTAATTCCATGGAAGGATAACCGTATTCTAAAACACACAGTTAGAATAGCTGGTTGGAAACATTCAGGGCAGTGATGCTTGTGGATCTCGCAGCACTACATTGATCCTATCCTGGGAGGAGATTTCATAGTTACTCCTACCGTCACTAGGTCACTCACTGCCCGGGGTAGTATAAGACAATGGAAAGATAGGATTGGAACCACTCAGACCTGGGTTTGATGCCTGGCTGTTCTACTTACCACTGTGGGATCACACCACCTACAACTACTGGGCTGTTGAGAGGAAAGGACACCACACACAATACCTGGCACAGAGCAGATTATTAAAAAACAAAACCCAAAATTTCCCTTCATCCCTATCCAGGGAATAGAATACTCCCAGCCATTTCTCGCTTATTTCACCACTATTACTAAATATAAATGGAAAGGGGAAATCATTTATCTAGTGTGTCATTAATTATAGACTCAAGGATCACACAGACCTGGATTCAAATCCCAGTTCTAGCTCTTACCAGTTGTATGAATTTAAACAAGCCATTTGATTAATTCTGAGCCTCATTTTCTCACGTGATGTGAAAATAACATGTATCTTATGGAGTAACTGAGAAAATGGTTAGGATAAGTTCCTGGCACCTAGTTAAGAATACAATACCTGGTAGCTATCACTATCACCTTAGCTGTTGTTTGTTCCCTCTACCATGCCTCTAGCCCTGGATGACTGTGTTCTTTTTAAGGTAGGTTGAAGGAAGATGGGAAATTTACTGGTAGAGACTCTATGTGGAAAGTCAATGCTGGATTAAGGCAAAAAAAAAAAAAAAATTAAAAAGTGGTATTTTTCATAGGAAAGGGGAGAAAAGGGTTAAGTGATGATATGAATGTATGTTTACAATCTACAGAAATAGGTAATTACATAAGTATAATTGTAGGTTTCCCCAAAATAAATTTGAAAAATAGGTAAGTTAGAAAAATTCACATTGTAAAAATAAGTAAAATATGCTAGAGTCTTATTATATTGCCAGTACCTACAAAAGTGCTTAGAATGTAAAAGTATACCTTAAATTTTATTTGAATGAAGGAGTACATAGATTCTTGTATTACAATTTGTTTAAAATCTCATCAAAATTTAAAAGATGTAAATACCAGTATGATCCTAAGCAGCCTATTAAGAACACAGCATTACAAGTATATGGGATATTTTTAATTTTACTTAATAAAAGCAGAGATATAGTATCCATTAGTTGAAATAGCAAACATAAAATAAAAATCAGGGCAATGGTGTGTGAACTAATAACATAGTAGTTAACTAAGTTAGACCTAGATAGAATTTCCTTAAACATATTTCCTTACAAAATAAGAGGTAGAGATCTGTCCCAGAAGAAGCGTATTATTTGGGAGCAAGATTTATTGGTGTTTATGACTTAATGAACAGTGTGTTGTACTTTGAAACAACCAAATGCATGTATTACCACCATCCCACAATACTAATTTTGGAGAACAGAATAAACCCAGATTAAATGAAAGTTGTATTCTATCATGTGGAATTATTTTGCTTGGAATACGATCAAATTCATCTAAAAATCTAAGACATGTTTTCTTTTGGTATACTTTTTTAAAAAGACTTTTCACTTTTTTTGGCTAAATTGGCTAATACCAGTTTCATGGTAAAATGTGTTCAAAATTAGCATGTTATTTGAGTTATTGTCAATGTAAGGAATGTACCCAGTGAAAATAACTTTGTAAGAAGGAAAACTGAGCACTTTGAATATACCTAGAACATGTGCACAAAATATATGCTTTAAAAAATTATCTAGGCTGCTTTAATATAAATTACTATAGAACAGAAATCTAGTTTCTTGGAGTTCCAGAAATTCTAGAATGCATGTGTGATTTTAATCACTGCTAATTAAAATTTTTATGGCTTATAGTAATGTCACTGTAATCAAATAACCAGATCTTGGTTTGGTAATTTAAAAAATAATGGCAAGTATACATTAATGCTTTTTATTCAAAGGTGAGTTTGTAAAGTCTACTGTTAATGGAGCTTAAATGATTTTTTAAGTGTTCAGTCATTGGAGAGATAAAATGTCAGGGTCACCACATTTGGGAAGACAATTACCATTATCATCCTGGGCTGATTATTACCAATTTTTGTTGTGGTTGTTTTGTTTCCTGTTTTTATTTCTTTCATTTGAGATTTTATCTGTCCTTTATTTCTTTCATTCACTTATCGTTCTTTCTATAATTCTCAGAATGGAAATGGTGTTGGAGAAAGCTTCAAAAACAAGCCATTGTGTCCAAAGTTTCATTTTCTCCCCCCTTCCTTCACTAAAGTTCTGCAGACAATTAGAATTCCCTCATTATGAGATGACTCTGAGGCTTCTGCTTTAAAGAAAGAAAACTCTCAGGTTGTGTAATCATTGTTGGTTTTCCTGTTTCCCCATTTTTAAATGAAGAAACTGTAGTTAAGTGAATGGCTGAGTTACTTCCACAGTAATTATAGTGGGCTGTATACAGTATCTTGAAAAATGTATGGTGTCCAGCTGCTTTTAAGTAGTTCAAAAAAAAAAAAACATCCACCCAATTATGGTGTGATTTTGATATGACATTCAAGAGATTGCTGAGCCACAACTGAAATCTCTTTTGGGGAACTGGTCTTCCAAAATATCTAGATAAATAATTCTAACCAACAGTAGAAACTGATTAGCTAGTTGATCAATTAGCATTACATAATAATAAGTAGTGGTGTGGGTAGATTTTTTTTTCCTACACTGCATTTCTGTTTTTTGTTCTTTTGTTTCCTGTGCATTTTTAAATGTTTCTCATGCACATCTCTATTTTGACACCTAGGGAAAAGCCATTATGAATATCTAAAATTATACACAATTGCTAAAGGAAAAAAGGAAAAAAAAACTCATTGACTTAAAAGGCAATAACTTAACAGGAAGCTATATATTTTATTTTTTTATACACTTAGGGAAAAAGGGCAAAATGATAATGTAGCTATTTATAAGCTTCCATTTTTATAAGTAATTACATGCCAATTAAAACTATATAAGGAAATATAGTAAACTTTTGATATTTTTAATTTTTAATTGAGAAAGTAAAAAAGGTCCAGAAGCATATAAGAAATGATAATATAAAAATTAACTCTCTCCTCTCCAAATCCTTCCTCTCAAAGGACCTTGCATATTTTATTAGCTCAAAAAAATGTTGAATGGGGGAATTAGTTGATTTAATCATAACAACTTGACTTTTATTGAACAGAATACTACCAGCCCTGAAATATTGATTTTGAAAAGCTTTGTTTAGACTTTGTTTTTGCAGAACCCTGAGAATGAGATTTTTATTGATTTAGCTTTAGGATGTTTCAACTCAAGGAGAGGGGAAAATAGCCCAAAACTAACCTTTTGTATCATAACATTAGACTGATATCTATTCCTTGTAGGAAACCCTCAAAATAATACAGTTTTATCACCTTTTGAGAAATGCTTTAAGTGAAAAGATTTCATTTATAATTGAATTAACACACTGACTGCCACACTAGAAATTTTTTTTTCCTTTGGGGCCACAATGTTTTATTACGAAAATAGAATAAAAACTTCGAAAACAAAATGATCCTGTCTAACTTAATGAAAAATTTGTTTATTGTTTTCTGTGCATGAGTTATCTGCAACTTGAAAAACAGTTCTCGCAGCTCCCAAGGTGAAGAGACATGAGTTATTAATACACATGCTTCAAAGGCCCTGGGCTCAAAACTAGCATGAATTAAATACAACTCACATGGCAGTTAATGTGTTAAAATGGTTCAATTTCACATCCATCCCACTGCATCATAATAAAAACTGCTGTACATATGTTAATTTTACATTTTTTACCCAATTTTTAAAATTTGTAAGTCAAAACACTAAGAATTATTACTCCCTAAATTTTTTTGCCTACAAAAATTTCATGTATGAGTCCAAATCACATAAATCATTTCTGTATTTACCAATAATACCTCCTATTTTTGATAAGGGCAAGCAGAGATCTGCTTGCCAAAAATCATTCCAAAGATTTCACAAAGACTGTCAAGAGAACAAATATGAAAGAATTCCCAAAGGAGAACATCTTAAACTCTTTTAGGAAAACAGATTTTACCCTAATGTATTTATTTATTTATTTTTTTGAGCAGTGAAGTGCTTGTTTGCATTGCTAGAGTAAAGAATCTTCTGACTTTCCATAATATCACAGATTTTTCTCTCCATGTTTGACTTGGGAATAGGCTTATATTGTTAGAGATGAAACTACCCAAGATAATGTTAGCTGTAATATTCTCCAAATTTTGAAG